ACTTGCAGCTGAGTGTCGCCTTTATATAGCAGTCGGCTGCTCGCAGACGAAAGCGTAGAAGCATCGAATTGTTCGCTATGGAAGGTTCTTGTTTTATCGTTTCTAGAACGTACTAGTTATCGGCTTCTGTCTTTCATCTGACATTCGCCTCGCATTTTCGCAACAATATCGATATTGAATACGGAACTATTATCTGTTTCCTTTCAATGACATTCGAAGTTATTTTTGTAGTTTTCAAAGGTTTGTTTTCTAAGAAAAATAATATTGATAACATACATAACACCAACATACGTAAAAAAATATCGTTCTTAAATCTTCATGGAGATTAGCACGGGCAAATTTAATGATGCACAAGATAAAGATGAAACAATTTATTATGAGGAAAATGAATTATATAGTCCCACTGAATTAAACGATTTAGAATGGTGGTCCATCCCCGAACCAATATTGGTTCGAATATATTGGATGCTGCCAATGAGTGATTTATTAAGCGCCGGTACTACCTGTAAACGATGGTATAATATTTTTAATGATGAACTCATGTGGAAACAAAAATTTTTGTTGCATTATAAAGTGGATCCATCTATAAGGCTTAAACCAGGTAATCATTGCTGAATTTTTATTTTCTTGAAAACCCATTTGTAGAAAACTCATCCAATGAAATTGTGATAAAATTAACTACTAATATACAACATTTCAGGAGCTGAGTCATGGAAAAATGAATATAAACGCTTAATATGGAATATACCTTATGTTCAGTCGCAAAGGCTTGAAGGTCACGCTCATCAAGTGCTTCATGTTAGTTTTTCTCACAATGGAGATATGTTTTCTACATGCTCCAAAGATGGATATGTAATTGTAAGAACATATATGTAAATACATATTTTGATATTTTATTTTGAAAACTGAATACACTTATATTAGAGAAAAATATGTATTTAAATTAAAAAAATAAACTTTTGAAATTAATAGGTGTGGAATTCCAGCCATCCATGTACCGAAAAATACTCTCATAACATGAAACAGTTCAGTTGGAAATATACTCAATATTCACAATTTAATCAAAGCGACACCCTACTTCTTGTATCAGGGGTACACTTTGGATCACCGCATAGCACATCGGGTGAAATAGCTGTGTTCACCGTAAATGGAAAAGGTTTTTGAACTATTTCATAATGTATTCATTGTTTAATATTGCTATTTTTATAGAAGAATCCCGCCTACGATGCCGCGTAGTAAATCGGCCCTATGATATATTTGGTACATGGTTCAGCGATCAGTATTTAATATCTGGAGATCTGCATTGGCTCGCACATCTTTTAAGCTACTCTGAATTATGGCTTAATAAAGCCAATCAAGAAATTGATTCGGAAAATGTACCAATAATGAACAAGTTATACAAGTTTTATAATAGAAATGCGAGTTCTGTACGTGCAATAATGATAGCTAAATGTCCATGGTTAGATGACTTAAATGATCCATTGTCTAAAAACCTTGATGTAAATAGTTCAGATGAATCATTAATAGATGTAGGGCCATCAACGAGTAATTATGCAGGCAATCCTATATCACATGCAGCTAGATTACGTCGATCGATATGTAGCGAAACATGCGATGACGCCCAAGATATTCTAGAACAAAATCCATCTACTTCCAACAGATCGTGTTCCAAAAAGATATCAGGGAGTGCTAACGATACAATTCTTTATTTCGATGAATATCGCCGTGAGAATGCCATTGGTAATGAAGTTTCCTCGGATGAGTCTGGTGACGGCATGGAGTGTACAGATGATTATGAAGATGAAATGGAGAACTCTGTACCAAAGTATTTAATTTTCTCAACCGGATCGAAAACATATACCCCTCATCAAATAGGAATAAAACGTATAAGAAATGTAAAATTTCCTAAAAAGCTTGATCCAGGACCTTCGCTAAAAGAAAGGATAGCGGCAAAAAAAGCCGCAAAAACAGAGGTACATAATAATTTTTACATTTCCTTACATTGTAAAGTAATGGTATATATCTTAGAACCAATTACGAGCTGATCCTGATTGGTGGAATTTTGAATCCGTCGCTCATTTATTCGATAAAGTAGACAAAGTAATAGATTTACATGGGCATATCATTGGTATGTCACTAAGCCCTGATCATCGTTATTTGTACGTTAATACAAGACCATGGCCAAAGAATTACGTAATAAATAATGCACTGGAACCGCCACCTATAGCGCAGGAAATAGATATTCATGTTATTGATTTAATGACATTAAAGCTAGTGGGCAACATGCTACGATCTCATAAAGCTTATACTCCAAGCACCGAATGTTTCTTCATATTTCTTGACGTATGTGAAGACTATGTTGGAAGGTGGGAAAAATAAGAAACGAAAAAAGCCTTAAACAAAATACGTACTTATATTTCAGTGGTGCGGAAGATATGCATGCATACCTTTGGGACCGTTATTATGGTATATGCCTTACTAAATATAGGCATGCTGATGTGGTCAATAGCGTTGCATTCAACCCAGCCGATTCACAGATGTTCGTTACAACCAGTGATGATTATACTATTAAAGTTGGTTCTCTTTCTGGATAAAGTTGCTTGTAAAAATAACTTACCTTTTATTTTAGATTTGGCGTTCCCGTGCGAAAGCAAAAGAATACAAGATCGAATCAGAAAATAAAACGGAAGCTTGTGAACTGAAGAAACGTTTCATCTAACAAATTATGAAATATTAAGAGTACTTATATATTTTATAAAAAAAAAATGTTCTTATTGTTTTGTAAATATAAGACTTATCTGACGTATCTTCTGGACTATCCAAAACGAGGACTACGTTGTCGAATCGGGCACATAAATTCCCTTTTAAAGAATAAAAATATTTTTCAGGAAGTATTTATTTTTAACTACTTTTTTTTTGTTATTCGAGTTGTTGAGATTAGCACAAATTGCAATTATACGTACCATAGTTGTGTATTTAAAAATATCAAAATCAAATTTAAATATTTGTTAAATATTAAGAGTTTTATACGGTCTGATAACCAACCAAAATTAGCGCTTTGTAACCATTGAAGCGATTTTCGGCCGAGTTCCTCCTCCAATTTTGTGGTACGCATCTAGATGTTTTGTCAAGAAATAGAGGGTTTGGATATAGCTTCTCAGAATTGAGAAAATTGTGCTCATATAAATAGTGAGTTTATTAACAAAACATATGGTTAAAAAAAAAATCAGAGGTCGTTATGATTAAATTAGTATAACAAATAATATGATTATTATTGTCCATGATTTTCTAAATGTGGACGTCCTACGGCAGGTATTGTCAAGCCCACCGAGTTTGATATGAATAAAATATCACTCGAATAAACTGCAGGCGCCGCTTCAGCGGTAACAAAGCACCATACATATACATATATAATAGCAATATACTGACTAGTATTATCAAATATGCGATAAAAATGTAGGCAACTGAAATAATAGCGTGGTGAAAAGCTTGATATAGCCCAAAATACTACATTTTCCTCCAAATGAAATTAGGATACTTTACTTACAGTTGCTTTAACATCGTAGTGTTACTTTCATCGATGAGTTCGTGCGCCGAAATTGCAGTTTTCACTTCAACTTTTTGCTCCCAAAAAAAACCTTGTTGCTGCTGGGATATTATGAAAACTATGCATTAATACTAGCTTGCAATACGGCCAGGATAGAATAGATACTCTTAAAATAAAATAAAAGCAGTTTAATTTTTCTTAGGCAAGAAACAAATGCATTTTTATGATAAATGATCTTCTATTTTCACATAAAAGGTAAATTAAATATAATATTTATTTATGAGATATAATGATAACAGTGGATTTGTTAAATAATGGTAAACATACATATATACATTGACATTCCAACTAAATTGAATTAATTGGCACTCATTTTAGACTGGATGTAAAATTAAGCGTTTTTATTAGTATGAACTATTTACTAAACGAGTTTTCCCCCTCGGGCTCTTGAATTTCATTGTTTTCTATTCCAGATTGTTATTATCTTGACTGCTGTTATGTTCAATATCACTACTATATGTTCTTTCCTCGTCATGAGCTGCATCCTGATTTTTCTTTACATTTTTCCTACGTTTTTCTGGATGTCCAAAACAATGTTCACATTCTTCATCGTCAGAAGAAGAGCTTTCGCCGAAATTCACGGGCTTTTTATAGATACAACAACCTAAATTTCAATAATCTAGCAACCATTACACACTCTATTTTTAATAATTCGTCATTATTCATTAGCTCACATTTGGATTTTTTCTTTCCCATATCTTCATTATCAATGGTTCCTTCTTTCCAAGCAACTTGTCGATCTGGTTTAGGCTTTTTCAGTCTCAGTCGTAGCACTGGTCCTGACTAGTCAAAAAAATAAAAGTATAAGTACCACTATTGAGGTTTAAATAAATTTTAACTTACATCCACAGTGTTTTCCAAAGAATCAATGTTATCAACTACTACGACCTCACTGGTAGAATCACGAATTGTTACCGCCTCCATTTCCATACCTTAGTATGTTATATCAGTAACCTGGATACAACGACGATATTTAGAATTGCTTTTAATGAAATAATAGAAAAATAAAAAATAAGAATTATCTATATATTACTTAAAATCCGAGCAGTATAGAAACTTTGGTTTTTTGTATGTTTGGAGTGAATTGTTGAACTCCTAGGTGTACCTGCAGGACAGATGTCGCTGGCGTCGCAAAGTATGGGGAAATAGGTTTACATAGTGGGGTTGCACTGCGGCAAAAAAAATTTAATTCAATAGTACTTTTCGCTTTAGTATTAAAATATAATATTGTTACCATTTTGCTAACTCAGCCTCGATGATTTTCTGAATCCTTCGGGTACGATCCCTGGATTGTTAAATAAAAACTCGCCAACTTAATTTGCGGTGTCTTTCGTTATAAAGAATTAATCTAATGTCCTTTATTTTCTCAGTAATTCACAATTCAATGATAATGCACTTTACTATTTACAATCACTAGCATCAACTTTCACAATTTACGACTTTACCGTTGTTAACGCCAACCAGTTCACTTTGTAACTAACTTGAGTTGGCAGCTGAGTGTCCCCTCATATAGCAGTCGGCTGCTCGCAGATCAAAGCGTAGAAGCATCGAGTTGTTCGCTATCGAATGTTCTCGTTTTATCATCCTAGAATGTACTAGTTATCAGCTTCTCTCTTTCATCTGACATTCGCCTCGCATTTTCGCAACACTGCCCTCCACCTAAGTCTGATCGTCCCGATCAGACACATTTCGCTGTTCCAAACTCAGCAAGTCTCTCCAGGTGGACCACTTTCATTTTGTTTCTTGGACTTCCAACGGTTTGGATCCGATACACTACGTCATTTAGCCGTTTGATTACCTTATATTGACCTTCCCAAGTACATTGAAGTTTTGGGGACAAACCCCTTTTCCGTTGTGGATTGTACAGCAAGACCAAATCTCCATTTTGGAAACCCTCGGAGTTCATCGCCTTGTCATACCTGGCCTTCATTTTGTCACTCATAACTTGAGTTCGCTGTCT